CCACGAGTCATAAAAGGGCCGAGTTTGAAGACCCCCACCCTGCTGTAGACCCAGCCTGAGTGCACAGAAAGGTCCCATGACCTTCTCTGGAGACCCTGGTTGAGGGGCTGCGAGCACACGTGTGTAACAGGCATTACACCTTCTCCTACTGGGGCAGTCCCCAACTTAACAACAGTTCGTTTATTGACATTTGTGTGGATTCACAATCATGAAACTGTGACCTCTGGTTTGTCTAACAACCCCTCTCTGACTCTCGGAGCTTTGGATTTTGGATTTTCCGCACGCTCCTATTCAAAGCAAAACCACAGGCAAGTGGTGGGTTGTTGTTTTTTAAGAGATTGTTTTTGTTTGCATTCCTTGTCTGTTGTCATCTCCTCAATCTTGAGAAAGCTGCCCTTCCATCACAGCAACTGTGTGTACGAGTGTATAAACCAGGACAGAATCCATCAAATAATCAGCTAAGCCCACTCAGAGCCTTTATTTATTTAGATAATTTATGTCCAGCCTGATTTGGCAAATTCCAAGCAGCTCGTATAAAAATCCCAAATATAAAAAAAATATAATAAGAACCATCGATTGCAGCAATCAGCATCACCTAACTATCCCTTCAAGCCCAAACAGCATTTATTACCTTCCCAAATTATACCGTAATTATCCTGATGGCAGTCAAGTCTTATTCTGTACGTCTTGCAGCCACAAATAATTTTGCAGTGGGTTGTGTTGTTGTTCGTTTTTTGTTTTTTTTTTTAGCTAGATCTGGAGTTGTTAACATCGTGGATAACTGCTAGCTTGGGGTTATCCGCTTTCATTTCCAGATTAAATTTATTCATTACCCTGCTGACCTGGACGAAGGCTGTCTGAAGTTGTCTGAAGGTTGAATCCTTGCAACTGGGGTAATTTTTAAAATTCAGCCTTCAGACAACTTCAGCCAACCTTCAGCCAAGGCTACCTGGGTAATTGAGAATCTCCATCGACATTTTGCTGACCTGGATGTTGAGTTCGCACAGATTTTGGCCTGCACAAATTGGCATCTGTTCCGATTACGGAGGATCGTTTTTCAGTCACTGTAGCCGGAGAATACGGACAACTGCCTACTTTGATTCCTGTCTACATGGCTTTTGAATCTAGTTGATCCAGATTAAGAACCTGTTATTTATCACCTGAGGTAATAATGCCTAACTTGTTAAAGAGGGCGTCATGAAGCTCCTTCAGCAGCCTTGGTCCATAATTCATGGTCAACTATACTTTATCTGTCCATGTGTCCACTTAAGAATTTAGAGTAGAGTAGAGTAGAGTAGAGTAGAGTAGAGTAGAGTAGAATAGAATAGAATAGAATAGAATAGAATAGAATAGAATAGAATAGAATAGAATAGAATAGAATAGAATAGAATAGAATAAGGAGTAGAAGAGAAGAGAAGAGAAGAGAAGAGAAAATAGGATAGAAATATAGAAGAGAAGAAAAGAGAAAGAGAAGAGGATAGAAATATAGAAGAGAAGAGAAAGAGAATAGGATAGAAATATAGAAGAGAAGAGAATAGGAATAGGAATAGAATAGAATAAGGAGTAGAAGAGAAAAAAAGAGAAGAGAAAGAGAATAGGATGGAAAAATAGAATGGAATAGAATAGAATAGAATAGAATAGAATAGAATAGAATAGAATAGAATAGAATAAAATAGAATAGAATAGAATAGAACAGAAGCTGGAAGAGACCTTGGGAGGTCTATACCCTATACCTATACCCTTTCAGACAGGTGACTGTCCAGTCTCTTCTTAAAAACCTCCAGTGATGGAGCACCCATGATTTCTGGTGGCCAGCTGTTCTACTGGTTAATTGTCCTCACTGTCAGGAAGTTTCTCCTCAATTCCAGGTTGCTTCTCTCTTGGGTCAGTTTCCAACAATTGTTTCTTGTCCTGCCCTCTGGTGCTTTGGTGAGTAACGTGACTCCCTCTTCTTGATGGCAGCCCCTCAGATACTGGAACGCTGCTATCATGTCTCCCCTATTTCTTCTCTTCTTTAGACTAAGCCAAACCCAAGTCCGCAGCCGTTCTTTGTGCGTTTTGGTCTCCAGGCCTTGAATTATCTTAGATGCTCCTCTCTGAATTTGAAGAGAAAGTATCAATTTCAATTTGGCTCCCAATGTGAACCCAACAAAACAGCCTTGCTTGCTTTGGCCATGGAATGGTAGGTTTGAATAGAAGATCTAGTGGACATTTAGTCATTCTTCCTGCTCAGATCAAGAATCCACTAAAGTATCTGACGGCGATCCAGCAAGCTCTGCTCTCCTAGAGCGAGAAGGTCCCAGTAGGTCTCCGATCCCAAATCCTCCTGAATCTTTCAACCAGTTTTTCTCGCCCTGCTCACCATTTCAACTGAGGATATATCTACCGCTTTTACATGCAAGCGTCCTGTATCTATAACTACTTTTGTAGACCTCGCTCATATCTCACTTTATTATTCTCTTTTGCAAGCCAAACACGGGTCATTCTTCATTCGTTGGCGCAGATTGCAGGTTTTGTAATCCCAACAAACCACCTCTTCGAAGCTGATCCAGTGTTTCCGGGGCTTGTTTCAAGAGCCCAGCTCAAAAATGGACAGAATCCAGTTCTCACTTAACAAATCACTTAAATAGGAGTCAGCAGTGTTGTGGCAGCTGCCAAAAAAGCCAACACAGTGCTAGGCTGCATTAACAGAGGGATAGATTCAAGATCACGTGAAGCGTTAATACCGCTTTACAAGGCCTTGGTAAGGCCACACTTGGAATACTGCATCCAGTTTTGGTCACCACGATGTAAAAAAGATGTTGAGACTCTGGAAAGGGTACAGAGAAGAGCAACAAAGAGGATCAGGGGACTGGAGGCTGAAACATATAAGGAACGGTTGCTGGAATTGGGTATGTCTAGTTTAATGAAGAGAAGGACCAGGGGAGGCATGGCAGCAGTCTTCCAATCTCTCAGGGTCTGCCCCAAAGAAGAGGGAGTCAAGCTATTCTCCAAAGCGCCTGAAGGCAGGAGAAGAAGCAATGGGTGGAAACTAATCAAGGAGAGAAGCAACCTGGAACTAAGGAGAAATTTTCTGACAATGAGAACAATTAACCAGTGGAACAACCTGCCTCCAGAAGCTGTAGATGCTCCAACGCTGAAGTTTTTAAGAAGAGACAAGACAGCCATTTGTCTGAACTGGTATAGGCCAGTTTCCTGCTTGAGCAGAGGGTTGGACTAGAAGACCTCCAAAGTTAAGGTGACCAATCGTCCTCCTTTATCTGTCCTGTCTTGAAAAGTATCCTCCTACATGTCATCCTTTTCGATATTTGAAGACTAATCGATAAATCTCTGTATTCGATGCCGATCCGATCCGTTGCGTGTGATGTGACGTATTTGTATTTGACACGACGATTCGTCAAGGCTCGGTACAGTGCGGCGAGACGCGATTATGAGACGCGTGCGCTCCGCACAGGAGAATTGTTTTGAGAGAGTGCGCTGCGTGCAAGTGGCTTTGTTTACTTCTTACCGAAACACGACACGGCACACACGCACGCATTAGACTCACTTTTTTTTCCTTCAATTTATTTGTGTCCTCCTCCTCCTTGTAAAACAGTTGGTCACCTTATCCAAGGTCCTTTCCAACTTCCTTATTCTGTTCTGTTACAATCCTGCAGGTTACAGTCCAGTGAAATCTGGATTTCCTCACATATTTCCCTGCTCTTCCTACATATTTATGATGGGAAAACAGGTTATATATTTCTGGTTCAGGCTACTCTGCTTCCCAAGTCACAATGAATTACATATTTTGATGGCAGGCGAGTTTACCATAACCTTACATTGCAAATCTATGAATTCAGGTCAATGGAGAGGGAAGGCAAGCAAGGCTGTAGTTTTTTTTGTTTTGTTTTGTTTTTTTTGTGATGGCCACACAATCCTGATTCCTTCTCTTGAGGCACTGCTCTTAGTCCAATTGATTAGCAACCATCTTTCTTATTTGCATCCAAGATTTTGTAACGCAGAGAAGAGCAACAAAGATGATCAGGGGACTGGAGGCTAAGACATATGAAGAATGGTTGCGGGAATTGGGGATGTCTCGTATAGTCCAGGCCATGGTTTTCCCAGTTGCAATGTAGCGCTGTGATAGCTGGACTATAAGAAAGGCCGAGCGCCAAAGAATGGAGGCCTTTGAACTATGGTGCTGGAGAAGACTCCTGCGAGTCCCCTGGACTGCAAGGCGATCCAACCGGTCAGTCCTAGAGGAGATCAACCCCGACTGCTCTTTAGAAGGCCAGATCCTGAAGTTGAAACTCAAGGATTTTGGCCACCTAATGAGAAGGAAGGACTCACTGGAGAAGAGCCTCATGCTGGGGAAGATGGAGGGCAAGAGAAGAACGGGACGGCAGAGAATGAGATGGCTGGATGGAGTCACTGAAGCAGCAGGCGTGAGCTTCAATGGACTCCAGAAGATGGCGGAGGACAGGAAGGCCTGGAGGAACGTTCTCCATGGGGTCGCGAGGGGTCGGACACGACTTCGCAACCAACAACAACAAGTCTAATGAAGAGAAGGACAAGGGGAGACATGATAGCAGTGTTCCAATATCTCAGGGGCTGCCTCAAAGAAGAGGGAGTCAAGCTATTCTCCAAAGTACCTGAAGGCAGGACAAGAAGTAATGGATGGAAACTCATCAAGGAGAGAAGCAACCTAGAACTTAGGAGAAATTTCCCAAGAATGAGAACAAATAACCAGTGGAATGGCTTGCCTCCAGAAGCTGTGGGTGTTCCAGCACTAGAGGTTTTCAAAAAGAGATTAGACAGCCATTTGTCCACAATGGAATAAGGCCTCCTGCCTTGGGCAGGTGGGTTGGACTAGAAGACCTCCAAAGTCCCTTCCAACTCTTGTTATTCTGAGTTCTATTCTAAAAAAAAATCATTGCAATTGAACTGCAGGCGAAAATGACTTACGGTCCTGTAAAAGCCATAAAACAATGCCTGACAATGTAACCCAGGACACTGTAGGGTAGGAAAAGATGAAAACGGTTGTGTTTATTTATTAAAGGGAGTTCTACGTGCGCTTTATTGTCTGGAACAACAAGATGTTTTCTTAGGCTGTTGCTGCAGCTGAATAGTTTTCTCTTTCACGTTGTCTTCCTGTTCTTTTAAAATCCTATGGGAGACAAAAGTAGATGGAAGGGAATTGTGGGGTTTTTTTTTCCCAAGCTGGACCATCTATTCCACAGGTCTTGAAACTTGGCCCTTTTATGATTTGTGGACTTCAACTGCGCGTGCCTGGCTGAGGAATTCTGGCCGTTGAAGCCCACAAGTCGTAAAAGGGCCAAGTTGGAAGACCCCTGATCTCTTCTATTCTTGTTTCCAGCAGCAGCTCTTAGGAAACATGCATGAAGACCTTGCTTCTCTCTCCAGCATTTTAAATTTGGAGACAGATCGTCTCGGATGCAGAAATACCACGAGACCCCTTTATTTATTATTTATTTTATTTACTTCAAACATTTATAAAGCTGCTTTATCTTTCACCCAACTCTAGGCTGATCATACATCGTTCAGAGATGCGTTCCCCACGAACGCCACAGCCCTCTGAGAGAAAGAATTTCTCCAATTAATCATGAACGAGTGCATTAAAAAGTAGAAAATGATGGAAGGACTTTCTCTGTATGTGCTAAGAATATGTCCAATTGGACATTAACATGAATATTTTCCTGCTGTCCTGAGTGCTCAGTCTGCGATACAGTGAGGTAGGTAGATAGATA